CTTTACAACTATAATCTTCTTCCTTATTTTGTCTATTATATATATCAGGCTTATTTACTTGACCTTGATTATACTCTGAATCCTGATGTCGATCTTCATTTTTGTGTCTTTGGTGGCAATACATGTTTCCATTAAATAATTCCCCATCTTTATACTTTTTGTCATGCCGTAAGTGCGACAAATTTGTAGATGGATGCACTTCAATATCTTGTCATGCCTTCGCATTTAATCATGTGCAAACACTCTCTCGCACTAAGCTGTCACGTGGTCGATTGTTTTTACTTTCTCGTTACAATGGGGACACATTGCATTCTTTTAAAAAAAATGTTTCTGTTTTGAAGCTTATATAGCGCTGCTTCTTCTCTAGGTGTGGTCTTATTTTTTGTGAGACATATCGAAAAATCATTTACACTAATTAAAATGTCTTCTCGATTTCTATATAGTTTTATGTGGTAATTTTTATATTTAACATCACTATATAATGGCGGCCTTAAACTTCTTCGAATTTTTCCCAAGTGACTTCGTTTTCTAGTTTATATTTAAACTTTAGAAAAGTCTTATTTTTAGATAGGCGTATATTAATATCTTTCTCTGCTTTAAGTATAGCTTGTCTCCTCATTATAAATTCTCTTGTGTTGGCTAAAGCCGTAAATAATTGTAATAACATCTTTTCGCTTCTAAATTCTATATTGTTTAGATCTCTTCCTGGCTTATTTCTTCGTAAATGTAAAAACAGTTATTCCTTACAGGCTGGTCGGTGGAGTATGAGATGTTTTATTAAAATTCACGATTTTATCATCTAACGCTTTATATTCGTTGGGCTCTATTTATTTTACCTACAGAATAGGTAATCAGTAAGATACTATATTCATTAATCGCCTTAAAAAATTTTTAAAGCGTAGTCTTTTCACTATAGCGTCATAAATCCATTTTTGTTTTCTCCAATCATTTTACCTATTAAGTATTCAATGTTCTCTATGTACTTAGATCTCGTGTATGATTATGAGAGTTTAATGTTGTCCTTACATATCTCGGCATTTGTAACAGACTTTTTAAATTCAACTCCAATCTAACCACCTAGAGAAATTCTTGTGCTTCTATCATCATTTCATTTAGTGCTTCTTCCTTTTTAGCTAATAGTTTAAGATTTTCGATGAATAGAAGGCGGTTGCATGCGGATACTTCATTTCCGGTCTCGACCTCCACCTTCAGGTATATTCCTTTATGCTTCTTACTCAGCGAATTCGTGCACAACACAAAAGCTGTGGAGATAAGCCTCCCCCTTATAGAATTCCTCCGTCAACTTTCTTATTTAAATAGCTTCTTTTCCAACTTTTATTTCATAAGTTCATTTTCTTAACAGGGTTTTAATCAAGAGAATAATTTATTCTGGTATTAATAGACTTTTCATGCACACGTTGAGGTACGTGTGTGTTACTGAACCATACGTTTTCTTAAAATCTTTCCAGACAACCTTAAGTTTGTAATTGTGGTGTTTATTAAGAATTATATTCGTGAGCGCTTTTTTCTTAGTATTCTGCACTTTCCTAGCTGTTCTCATTTGATTTTCACGCAATAGTAATTTTGCCTCTCCAATACTCCGCCGCACGTGCTTTGCAAACTTCGTTGCTAGCTTATATAAATTCGACATACGGATAATTAAACAATAGTCTTTTTCAGATATGGAAGTTCCTTTCAATATCAAATATGTGATACCTTTGTAAAACAACTCTTCTTCTTTTCCTTCAAGACATATGTTTTTCACGTGCATAGAGTTCTCCTTGTATCGTGTCTATCTTTTTCAAAAAAAATAAAATATTCTAATGGTTCAGTCACTTTTTACCTAAGCAATCTCTTTATTATAGCTAGGAATTCTTCTTCCGTGGAAAATACAAGGTCACCCTCGATTTTTAAATTATAGTTCAGTAGGTAATCTGCATACATATTCTCTCTTCTTTCTTCAGTTTCTTCCCAAATATTAAACCATCATTTTTTAATTTCTTCATGCTTTAGTCTCTCATTCGTTGCTTCTTCTGGCTCATTAACATCTTTTTAAAGGTCTCTGTAGAATCAAGCTCAATATAACTTAAATTTGTTATTTTCTTTTCTAGATAGTCTTCTTCTTTAATGATCTTGTATTTTCTTCTGTATATCATTATCCTTTCATTTATGTACATGACCATTTTTTCAGCACCTTTGAATTTATTAAGTATTAAACTTAGTTATCTAAACTACTTCTGGTCTTCAATTTTCTGTTCACTGATTTTTTGATTATTTTCCTATACTTATTAATAAGGTCGTTTAATTTATTAAAGTCCTTTATTATTTTCGCAATATTCTCTTTCCATATACTTTTATTGGGATCTTTTGTTACTATTTCTTGATAGCATATCTGAGATACTTGTAGCAGTTTAGCCACACTTTTCATAAAATATTGTTGATTACATTACCAACTGCATTGTTTATTGAGTTAAAATGTTTATGTTTATTTTTAATGAGCTAAGCATATTTTTCTTGTTAATTCAATTTTACTATTTTCTTTAATATGATTTCAAACTTTTTAAATTGTTTTTCCATCTCATTCTGCTTGATAATATCCTTGTAAGATACCAGTTTTGCTATTTCATCCAGGGTCTACATCCTCTTGACGTAATTCTTTAGTTTGGATTCTATTACTATAGTGAGACTTTCTGCCTCGTTTATCACCACCTTTGTTGATCTTTTCTTCATCATCAGATTGACATCTACTCTTAAACATCTCCACATAAAAATCTGTAATGTTATCCCAGCCTCCTCTTGGCATCTGTTTCCATCTACTTAACATGGCTTGGTAGGGTGTCCTTTGGCCACTCTTCCATTTTAGCTTCTAGTTAACTCGGAATGGCATTGAGAAATGCTAGTTTGTTGGTCTTTTTGGGCCCATACTTTGTTTAGCAGGCGAGACTTTATCCAATCCGTGTTATATTTAGTCAGTTAGTGATGCTGTAGTTATTTTGTTAATTTTTGTTTCAGCTCTTGTTTTCTTTTTTTTACCCATATTTAACTGATTTGATAAAATAGTAATCTTGGTGTATTCGAAAAAATAGTGTCATAAAGTAAAAAATAAATATTTTTTAAGAGAAATGATTTAAAAACGCATAAAATATAAATAAAGGATAAAAACAGAAACCTTTTTCTTATATAAAGTATTTTATTGGTTAGATTGT